ATATATATTAAATAGTTTGTAGGTGTGAAAAAATATTGGAATATATTTTTCTAGCACCCAAGAAAACTCGGGAATGTACTCGGGTTGTTAGGCAATCTGTAAAACAAACGAAATCAACCAACAATCTAATACGTATGTGATGGTGGACAAGGAAGGGAAGGGGAATACCCAGCGTGGCGGTGGCTGCGAGGGCAAACAATGCAAAATATATTTATTTGTATATATGTCGCTACCATTAAAGAATATTTTTGAATATCTTTTATCTAATTTTCTTTGACATTTCTCTGTGACAAAAACATACACATGAGACATATTTAAAGAGTGAGATTAATTTAGCGCAATTTTTAGGCGCCCGACTCCCTTCCAGATAGCCTAAAAGGCGAAAAATCACCTAACTAAGCACCACTGAATTTGACACACAGACTCTGTAGCTTGCTACCATGGATTTAGTATAAACTGATGTTAAAATAGATTGGCCATTCAAAAGAGAAAGAGCATAGTGAAAGAGATATGTAAGAGCGAGAAATATAGCGAGACCATTCACGTACACGCTATCAGCCTGTATTGGCTTGGCCTCACGAATGACAAATCCAAATTGGTGGTTTGAAAATTAAAAGAAAATTGGTGTTTAATAGGCGTAATTAATTGAGACTAGGTGCGTAGTACGTAAATATAAGTCACCTCAGAAAGAAATCCGTCATTATTATACATTTAACCCGTAGCTAACATTATTTATAACTTGTATTTTCGGACTGTCGAGAACATTCTGAATTACACCTTTTATGGATATCAAGAGATGATACTTCAATGTTTATTTAATTTCTGGGACTACTTATATTATGTCCGCAATAAGCCGCCATGTTAGTTTTTATGTGATTTCAAGCATACTAAAACTCGCAAAAGGTCACAATGCTTCTAAAGATATCTTATTTGTCAAAATACGATAAGTAGCTTAGAAGATCTGAGGGAACAGATAGAGATGGATCCTCAAAATAACATCAACATCACAATGCGTTTTTAACCAAGCCGATTTTCGAACATGGCCATGACTTGCGAAATATCAAAAACTTTAAACTGTGCAGAAGATATTATAGTATCACAGTTGTATGAACGAACACAATTACAACCACTCATTTTACCCTAGCCATGCCCAATATCATGTGTATGCAAAAATGAAGGCAGGCTCCGATGTAATGTCAGACATACAGACAATCACAATGCCAAACCTGAAATTTAAAAGTTTGTGTTTTACATATGATTTTTTAGCTGGGATTTGAATTATTTTTATTAATAATAGTATAATATTTTGATTTCCCAGTAAGAAAGTTAATGAAAAGGATCCCAATTTTGTCATATCTCCATATTTCATCGGAGTTGCGTTCTGCACGCTGCCGCCGTGTTTCGCATTACAGGTCGGAGTTTTTTTTAATTATTATTACTATTGTCAACATCTCTATGGACTGAGTTTGAATAAAATATTATTATTATTGGGCCGGAATGCGGTCTTTCTTTGCATATTACCCATGGGAGCATGGGGCTTTGCTTCTCGCGTTGTGCTTCAGGGAATGGAACTTTTTATTCCATCTTCTGTGGTACCCATCGGAGGCAGATCTCAGACTTGGTTTGATCGTTCCTGTAAGACTATATTACGCAGTAAGCAAGAGTGTTTTCAGGCCTGAGCTGACACTTCGGCGGCCCGGGATTTAAACACCACCATACTTTCAAATGAGTTATTGCCAAGGTAAAGTATGAGCACATTTGCAAAATTGGCGAGAAATTAATCGCGGTGGTATGCTGGATCTGGTGCTGTGCAATTTTGAACCTAAACAGATAGTGGTATCTCTCAGTGAAGATCCTCTGGTAAATATCGATCAGTACCATCCTATGCTCGATATAAATATTACATTTCCGGGCTTTTGGATAGCATCGAGCGTGTCATCTTTGCAGCAAGTGACACCTCGCTCGAATACTAATACAGATTGGAACTGGCGTAAGGCAGATTTTCAAGGTCTGTTCGGGAAAGCCGAATTTTAAGGTTTCCTTTTTGCTTCCAACTTTACTCTCGATGACAGGGTTGACACCCCGCCGAACATACCTCAATGTGAGTGCTCTATGCCTGATATGCGATTTACACAGTGCTCAGTACGCAAAGTACTCCTCTCCCTGGACATCCACATGTCGACTGGGACTGACAGAATCCCTTAGTAGTGTTAAGGATGTATCCTTCAGAGTTCGCACCGGTTCTAATGCGTCTTTTCCAGCACTCCCACTCCCAAGCCGTAGTCCCAAATTAATGAAAGACAGTACTCGTGCACCCAATCCTTAAAAAAGGTAACCGCTCTGATCCATCTAACTACAGGTCTATCGCCATCACCTCCTTGTTCTCGAAAATAATGTCCATTCATTATTAACTGCCAGCTCATGCGGTACCTTGAGGAGCAACATCTGATTAGTGACCGCCAGTACGGTTACCGTCAGGCCGTTTAAGTATTACGTGAGTAGATTTTTTTTAACATTCGCCCACCCCCTTTCTCTCGTCAGCAAAAGTAAGCAAATCTCTTTCCCCACCTCCACCCCCCCAATTGCTAACGTAAACATTTATATATAAGTATTTTTAATCTGTTTTGGTTTCCTTATTGCTTTATGAGCAGTTAACAAGTCCAGAAATAAGGAATTTATAGTCTATAGTGAAATTAAATTATAGTTGATAGCCCAGTGGATAATACCGCGCGCCTCACATACGTGGAGTTCCAAGATCAATCCTAAGCATGCACCTCTGGATTTTCGAAATCTAAGTGTGGATTTATACCACTACCTCGGTAGTGAGGGAAAACATCGTGAGAAAACCTGCACATCAAGAACATCTAGATGTATAACCATGATCCAATTTATCTGATTCCCCTATCTAAGGTTTATGAACGTCAGGTGCCAATCTCTTCAATGACCAAACTCGCCAAATCCTGGATCATGGTCGTACCATATCGTGCCATATGTGTTCAAATCAAAATCAACTAAATTTTGCAGATAATGCGAAAAAGAAAATAAATAAATATTGCTGACGTAATCACCATCCAGATTCCCCCCTATTCCATGTCCCCATGTAGTATTAAATAATAGAAATACAAGTTGATTATATAATAATAATAAAGACAAATAAGAGTTATCCGGATATTGATCCTAAACTAAGTAAAAATGATTATAATGATTATATACATACACTGAAAGAGAAAAACAAAGAATTAGAAAAAAAAGGGCTGATGCTGATTGAGAAATTACTTGCCGAAAATTGTATGTTAGAGAAAAAAGTCTCAAATTATGAATTAAAAATTAAGAAGCTAGAGACAATTTGCAGCTCTTTCAACGCACTATTAAATATTGGAAATAAATTATCTAAGCGCATGAAAGGAAAACAGCTGAATTGTATCGAGAATAATACAACGCCGGCGAAGATACCGATATGTAATCAGGAGAATATTGTTAATATATAATTAAAAATTTTGTACAGCCGACTCCAATATAAGTTATTTAAGAATAACTCAAAAACTATTGGTCTGACCTTGATCAAATTCATATGGGACCACACGAGAACTATCAGCTTTCATATAAAAAAGAATCATCGAAATCGGTTCACCCAGTACAAAGTTATAACATACATAAAAAAAGTCGGCAGAAAAGAACCTGAAACCATGATCGTTGAACTACATAACCAACTACAAAAAGCAAGAGAAGAGATTTGCTAACTAAACAATAGACTCACGGATCTAAAGATAAACCATCGGTATAAAGAGAACAAAAATTATAAAACCTGCAAAATACACATATTTTCTAGCGAAAAAGTAAATAAAGTAATTAACATAGCATTAGCTACTTTTGCTGACGAAAACTATGAGATATGCCATTTCCTGAGATCTAATGTCGGTATGATGAATCTTCTAGACAATCCATGTAGTCAAGCAAATTATCTTTCGAAAAATGACTTCTGTATTCTATTAATAGGAGAAGAAGATTTTAAACAAAGCGGAAATTATAAAAATTGTGTTCAAGAATTAAGAGAAAAGCGGAAATTATAAAAATTGTGTTCAAGAATTAAGAGAGTCCTTGTTAAAAATTAAATATACGAACGTTATATTATGCTTAACTACCTTTAAATTATGAAGATACTACCAAATTTATAATAAAAGGACCGCAACATTTAATGCATTGCCCTACAAAGAAGTACAAATTCATGAATTTGCATTTATATTAGATTCTAATCTTGAGCTAAGTTATGATTGCACTATGTTCTCTAAACTATTGGGTAAGTTGAATAACGTTGGCATGAAAATAATCTTCCAAAATGGTAAGTATGATATTAATAAGACAGATAACAAAGAAACAATGTCCTGTAATGTATCTGAAACAAACCACACCATAAACTCAAGACCTAAATCTCTTTTACGGGATTAATAATGTAAATCTTCCCCTGGGGTATCGTTTATTGCACATGTTATCTTTGATACATGGTGCCTTTCGATTTAAAGTTTTACATGGACATGTATCATATTACACTTAACAATTTCGTGAAGCTCTGTGTCACGTTTGGGATCCGGTATTTCAGCACAAATTATATTGTCGATTTCATCCGGAGTAATACGTTTGTGAAGCCATAAAAGAATATGAATATTGGAAGACCTCTATTTTGCCATTCCGTTGAGTACATATAGCATCGCACTTCACCAAATAGTTTACCCTTTGTCAATAAGTTCATGATCTTTTTCACCATTAGTTGAAACACCCTCGAAATTATATCGTGTCTATCATGAGATTGTTGTCTTTGAAGCAATCGCTCTTTTATCGCGTCCCAGCGAGGATTGCATGTGAAATTGATAAAAAGGTCAGGCCGGCCGCAATTCCTAACATAGGTCATAGCGTCCTGTGTTCTTTTGTGCATATACGTAGGTCCTCCCGTAAAAGAAAAATGGAAGGACAATCATTTGTCCTAGTTGGTTGGTTTCTGCGTCTTATCGTCCAATAGCATCTTTTAAATGTATGTAACTATCAGCACGTAATTTGGCTTGTTTATTTTTGATATAATTTAATCTCTCTGTTTCTATTTTGGCGTATTCATCCACGAAATATTGACTATAAAGGGCACGATAGTTGACTAAATACTTATCTTCTCCTTCTTTAATCATTATTCTATACGAATAGAAACTTGCAGAAGAGACAGTTTTATTGAGCGGCAACTTAGTTGTGGGATCGCGTTGTGATATGTTGATTGAATACCCATCATCCCCCCAGCAAAACATCAATGGATACTGTAGCGCATCATATGCTCGACGTATCTCACTAATACGCTGAAAAGAATTACTTCGGCTCTCGAGGATGTTGTTCCTTCGATCAAATTGTTGATCCACTAACACTAAAGCCACTTCATTTGTAGTTGGTGCATTGTACCTACATCTATGTTCTTCTGGTGTTTTTTTTTATTAGCATGTATGTATGATAACTTTGTATGACTCTGAATGATCTTTTATATACGGGTTCACTTGATGCAGCATATTCTGCAATTATTTGATTAAATTTGGCTTTAAGTTAGGGAATTTAGAACATCGAATCTTTGCTTCTCGATCATCTTCACCTACAAAATATATTTGAAGGTACTGAGCGTCATGTTCGGCTTCTGTTAATATACTTCCAATCAAATGGTAGACCTGGCCTTGTACTTTAAAAGTCGGTGAAAAACCATCTGCTGTTACCTGTTTACCACCAAAGGAAGTTGTCTTGAAACAGGCATTATATTTACGAATACCGAAGTATTTCTTTTGGTTTGGCCATTTTATTAATTTGTAAAAAATATATATTTGGTTTGGTTGTTTGTTTTCATTGTTATTTAATTTTTTAATTAGTTTTTTTTGTTTAGGTGTAATTTTGTGCAAATTCTATTCTAATAAATTCAGTTTAAAATATTTATCAATATCATTTACGTTATTTACGACCCAAAAATCTTAAAAATGACACCCAAGTCACCCAACCCATGATTATTTTACATACAAACATACATCCATCCACCCTTTCATCCATGTTGGTTTCAAACCATAATCGATGCCATTTTCGTAATTAACGTCCCAAAAAACCATAAAACGAGACCCATATTGACATTTCAACCAAATCGCACCCCCACAGGGGATGATGGTAGATATGTCCCGTCTGCTACGTTGGATTTTGAAATAGTTGTTGTTTTCGTAATCAGCGACCCGATAAGCCATAAAAGCAATACCCATGTTGATTTTCAGAATTTGTCACCCCTTTTCCACCTTTTAGGGATTGAATTCTGAAAGAGCCTGAAACACTTGTTTACTCATTTATTGATAGGAGTACTTCTGTAAAGTTTCGAATAAAATAGTTTAACTAATCTTGTTTCCCCATACAAATTTTCAACCCCTTTTTAACCTAAGGGTTGAATTTTCAAAAACCCTAGGACACGTAATTGTTTATTTCTATAATGATTTCTTATATTTACGCGAAGACTACACATTGAATGAAACAAACTGTAGTGAGAAGGCTAGAAAAATATAGTACGTACCTGTATCCGAATCTAAGGCCGCCCCAAGGCTCGGTCAGGCCGTAGGTGGGTGTAAGGTGCATGGAAAGTAGTGTTTAGTGATGTGTATGTGTCTGAGACCTGGACCAGATGAGGTGACCGGCAGCGGCCGATTTTCAGGCTGCCCCACAATGCTGCATCACTCCAGTAGGCTTCCCCGCTGGACCATTTCTTTCTTCATGGCACTATTTCCAAAATTCTAGACCCTAATCCAAAAAAAAATCGGTCTGGCGAAACCTCAGCGGCGGGCATCGAAAGACACCAATTAATTGCCCAGCCGCCGTCGAGCTACTATCTCTTAGCCCAGCGCCGGAATCACCGGAGCTGGTACGCCACCACCCCCGCACCGCGACCCGCGCGACACCTGACACTATCGGGCGATTCACGAAGTCGAACGTGATTGGATGTCGTACAAAGTACCTTTTTTGGGCCTAAACAATAGTTGTGGCTTGAAGTCCCATATATAAAAGACATATGATAGTAAGGTCTATGAAATAAAGCAAATATGTGAGGTCTCAAATATGTAAAAGCATTATATTGATATCTTATTACGTCGGCTATCTTTCGGATTAGAGAGAGAGAGAGAGGGAGAGAGAGAGAGAGAGAGAGAGAGAGAGTGCGTTTGGTAGTACTTTTAAGTGCAACAAGCATACTACGTATGCTTATCCACATATCATAGAGCCATTGCATAATGTCTTATTGCAATGGCTCTATGATACGTGGATTTTTGGTTACTGACGTATTAGTAGCGTGCCATTATGATACGTCGTTGGTGTTTTTTTTAGGAGAGGGGGCAAATGAGCATGCCTACCGCCGCCCACGAACAACTGCAACACCAGGGGAACCAGGGGAATTGCAGATGCGTTGCCGGCCTTTTAAAAAGGAGTAGGCCTTTTCTTGAAGGTTCCTAAGTCGATATCGGTATAAGTCGGTAATGGATTTCACAAGGAAGTTGTGTGAGGAAGAAAACATATTCTAAATCGCACAGTAGTAGACCTCCAATCATCCAGATAGTGTGGATGGTGTCGGGAGTTCTGCCGCGATGTGCGTTCGTGAAATTTGGCGGCTGGGATTAATCCGAACCATTCGTCAGAGCACTCCTCGTGGTAAATGCGAAAGAAAATGCAAAGGGAAGCAACATCTCTTCGCAGTGACTCGGTCGTCGACGATTCGAGCTGCTCTGCGCTGGATGTGGTCAAGTGGAAGGAGCTGGCACTGGGGGAGCCCCTGCCCAGAGATGGGTACAGTATTCCATGTGAGGCCGAACCTGCGCCTTGTAAGGTTGCAGGCGGTGTGCCGCCATGAAATACTGTCCCGCTCTCCGAGGATTCCGATAATGGCTGAGGCAAGAAGGGGAGTGCTTTGAAACTGAGGAGATACGACAAAGGGGTTCTTTTTAGCGGTAAACGCGCAAACTTGTGTCTTCTGAAGATTAAACTGGACTAGATTTAGTCGCCCCCAATCCGAGACTTTGTTCAACAGAGACTCGACTTCAGACACAAGTTTGTTCCGGTACTCGGCGACGTTTTCCCGAGAAATATTGGCATAGCCGGTGTATAGAGCATCACCAGTGCTGTCATCCGCATAGCAATGAATGTTACCAGTTAGCAACATATCATTGATATGCAGAAGAAACAGCGTTGGTGATAGCACACAGCCTTGTGGAACACCAGCGTTAATATGCTTGTAGTCGGAGCATGCACCATCTACAACGACCTTGATGCTTCGTTCTGCAAGAAAACTGGTGATCCAATCGCATAATTTCTCGGGAAGCCCATAGGAAGGGAGCTTCGAAAGAAGCGCTTTGTGCCAAACCCGATCGAAGGCCTTCACAATGTTCAAACTAACGGCCAACGCCTTCCCCTTGGACTCTACTGCCTCCGCCCATCTATGAGTCAGGTAGACCAGAAGATCACCAGCTGATCGACCCCGACGAAAACCGTATTGGCGGTCACTAATCAGCTGGTGATCCTCAAGGTACCGCATGAGCTGTCAGTTAATAATGGATTCCATTATTTTGGAGAACAAGGAGGTGATGGCCTGTAGTTGGACGGGACTGAGCGGTCACCTTTTTTAGGGTTCGGGTGGACAAAAGCTGTCTTCCATGATTTTGGGACTACGCCTAGGAAGTAGGAGTACCGGAAAAGACGCGTTAGAACCGGTGCCAACTCCGGAGCACACGTCCTCAGCACAACTGGGGGGATTCCGTCAGGCCCACTCGACTTGTGGATGTCCAGGGAGAGGAGGAGAAACCGAGCGCTGTGAGAACCGCACATCCGGCATGGAGCACTCACACCGTGGGATGGTCGGCGGTGTGTTCCCCCCGTCATCAAGAGTCGAGTTGGACGCAAAAAGGGAGCCTAAAAGGTCGGCTATCTCTTTTGCGGCGTGGGCCAGTGAGTCGTCCTTCCTGTGCAGAGACGGTAGTGATGGCTTACAGAAATTCCCTAGGACAGCTTTGGCGAGAGACCAGAATGCACGGGTTCCGGAAGGAAGGCGAACTGGTTTCTCGCTAATTCTGCCTATGTGCTCTGAGTTTGCCTTGGCAATAACTCTATTGAAGGACCTGGAGACGAAGTTATACTTCTTTTTAAGCATTCTGGTGTTTACATCCCGAGTCTCCGAAGCCGCAGTCCAGGCTTGATAACACTCCTGCTTACTGCGTAATGCAGTCTTACAGGAGCGACCAAACCAAGGCTGAGATCTGCCTCCGATGGGTACCACAGATGATGTAATAAATAGTTCCATTCCCTGTAGCACTACATCAGTGACAGAGTCAGCAACAGCGCTGGGATCATCCGGCGAGAAGCAAACCCGCCCCCATGGGTAGGATGCAAAGAAAGACCGCATTCCGTCCCAATCCGCCGACCTGTAATGCAAAACACGTAGGCAACCATATGCCAAGGCAAAGTCATAAACAGATCTCCCCGCATGATCGGTTAAACGTGAACCGAGCCATTCGGCGTGGTGGGCGTTAAAATCGCCAAGGATCACGATCTCTGCGGACGTGGTCGATATATAGAGGCACACGTAGACGCGCGGATGGTCGTCGCTGTCTACGCGTAGCCAAAGGATGGACATGTCCGAACCTTTAAGGTGACACTAGTCGACAATATTTCCATTGATTTCCATACAAATTTCGGAGGGGTTTTACTACGCTGTTTGACAGTGTACATCCAAAGTTAAACATGATATCGTTTTGTCTCATTATCAAATTTGTCTGTACGGAAACAGAATAGTAAAATAAAATGTTATTAAAAAGTTACGAGCTACCAAAGATTCGTTTTTATTGCCAATTTTAACACAACTTTGGGCGTAAATTAGTAATAAAAGAAGTGTGAAATTTCCAAAACAAAGTCGGTACCGACACAGCTCAATTATCGAAGAATTCAAGAAATTTTATTCGTAATTAATTTATGCAGTGGTTTTTTCATAAAACCCCTTCTTCCAAAGGCCTTTTCGTATTTTTTTACGCGCGTATGTTACTATGAATTATCGTGCATCTCACTGAATAATGTTTGCCCCGGTGCGGTGCGGGAGGACGACGCTTACACACACATGCACGGGCGGTGACGCGGGCTTATTCGAGTTTTATTCGAAACGAAAAGTTTTGCTATTTTGTAATTTGGACGCCAAAGACAAAAGACAGCATGGAAATTGATATAATTGAAAGAGATGATGCGTTTTGGACGACAGACAATTTTG